TTATTCACTGTTTTAATTTTTTTCAGTGGTAAAATATTATGTATATAACATCAAAATTACTATCTTTACCATTTTTAAGTACATGGTTCAGTAGTATTAAATATATTCATAATATTGTGCAACATCACTACCATCTGTTTCCAGCACTCTGTCCACTGTGTAAAACTAAAACGAAAACTCTATCCCCATTAAACAACAGCACCGTACTCCCCTCACTCCCAGTCCCTGGCCATCGCCTTTCTATAATAGCTCCTGTCGTTATCAATTTGGCTGCTCTAATTATGTCATATAAGTGGAATCATACTTTTTGTGTCTGGCTTATTTCATTTTCTGTATTGTTCTCAAGGTTCATCTGCATCACAGCATGTGTCAGGATTTCTTTCTTTTTTAAGTAGTGCTTGTAAGAAATGTTTTAAACCATGAAGAGTGTGGGATTGTTCATTACCATGTCATAACAAAGCCTGTCCTGACTAGTACAGCAATAAATACTCAAAAGAATAGAACATTTCTAGCAAAGCTCCTAATGGCAGCTCTGTCATAAGCCTTTGTAGCGGTAGCATGTGGACACTTTGGTTTGTCAACGAGGACACCAGAGGGTTTGCGTTCCCTTCTTTCTGAGAACATTTACCTGGGAGTTGCAAAATGATAACACAGTCTATGATAAGCTATGGTGTTATGCTGAAGTCACAGACAAATTGCATAAATTCAGTAAATCTGAGAGGTGATGGGTTTTGAGTCTGATAGATTAAAATGGGGGAGAGGCTATGTTAGGGGAAATGGCTCCTGCAAAGGGTTGGAAGAAGGCCCTCTTTCCTCATTTTGGGCACCTAGAGCTCATTCAGCTCTACCCTCCTACAGCCAGTTCTGCTCCCTCAGTCTGCAGGCCAGTTCATAATGCAGACATTCCAGACTCACCTGATTTTAGAAATCCTAGTATTAATTACAGTGGGCATGAATGTTTCTCCATAAACTCACAGGGACCAAAAAAAAAAAAAAAGGATTACTTTATTTTTGTGAATCAATTCCACCTGTTCTTGGGTTCCCAGTCACTTCAGAAGGAAAACATTTTATCTTGGGAATCTTTGGGAGTCGGGGGCATCTTTATCCCAAAACTTAAATATGAACTCACAAGACTCATGCGGCTCCCAGCAAAGAGCAGAAGAGTCTGGTTCCTATGACCGCTGCTGAGAAGCTCATTATCCAAGCCCACACAGCCGAAGGATAGGCAACTCCATCCTTTCACAGCAAAGTAGGGGACACCTCCCCCTCATCCTCAAGGCCATGACTGTCCCCAGCCTCCATACCTTCCATCCCACCAGAGCTAGTGGCACTTCTGGAGAAGCTGCATGGAAGTTGGGAACAGCTCTACATCACTTGAAGACCAAAACACCCATCCTCACTCTCACCTCAGGGAAGGGCCACTTCTGCCCCCTCACTTCTTATAGAGGAAGAAATAGGAGCTTACCTATCATACATGATTGTGTGTATCTTGAAAGGAGAGAATTGAAAACACATGCTGAGTCTTTGCATTTGGGGGCTTGTAGGGGATAACTAAAGCAACTCCATCTGAGGCTAACTGGAACCCCTTACTTGACAGATACACTGTATGCCTATGAAGGCCTGAGGCCTGCTCTTTCCCTGTGAGTTCTCTGCCTCAGCCTCTGACCAGCCTCCTCAACACTTAACCTTCAGAGAGTACCTAGAGTGAACCTCAGCCCTGGAAGGGTTTTATTGCCTACTCAAAGGACTTGCTTGAACCCGAGGGTGAGGAGCTGGTCTTTGGGTCCAGCATCAGTTGCTGCCTCCTCTGCCCCAACCATGGTTCCAGCTGCAGGCAGTGGAAACTTTTAGCTTGTGGTCCAGCACGGCCAAGTCTCAGAGTGCCAACTCCGACAAAAATGAGGAGTTGCCACACCCACCAGTGGGGAGGTCCAAGATTAATCTGTAACCCCAAACCCCAGGCCTATTGTGTCTAGGGCAAACCCCAGTCTCATGGGCTGGGAACAAAGGGAAAAACAGAGCTCTCGTTCTTGCTCTTAATTCTCCACAGGGCCTGGAGCAGCCCTCTGAACCTGACCCCTTATCTTGGCCCTTCCAACCACCCTGACTCCATCTAACGCCCTCAGGAAGCTAGATCCTTCTCTCTTGCTTGCCCTTCCCCACCCTAACCAGGACCTGGTGTTTTACACCAGTCCACATCTCTAGGACCACACCTGCTGTCTACTGCTCACACAAAATGCCATGTCCTGGGGCCCACCAGGGAGAACTTAAAAACTGCAGAAAGACTTCTTATGCTTTTATGACTAGTTTTTCCTCCAGTTGGTGAAAACAATCTTTAAAAATTCCAACTTCACCTCTGCTGCAACCAAAAAAGGCAAGTCCTATCCCCACACGCTTGGGACAGGCAGGACTTTTGTAGTCTGTTGTAGCCATGACTGCCCACCTCTGACAGGAACAGAGTAGCCAGGACAGTCCGAGCCCAGCATATATCAAAAGGACACCTTCCTGCCATCACTGAGGCCACCAGCAAACTCGCGGGCTGCTGGGAAAAGCAAGAGAGCTGGGCATCTCCAGAGAAAAGGATGTGAGTCGGCCTCCTGCTGGGTTAGAGCCAGTGCCACTCTAGAGCTCGCTTGGCTCATAAGAGCCAACAGGGAGCATCACTTTCGGGCTCTACGTTCAGTGAGGTCACATGGGTAGCGGCAGACCACTGGTTAGGAGTGACAAGCTGAGAATGACAGTTTGGGCACCAGGGACCAGCACGAAAAACAGAGAGGAATTTAAGAGTGAGGACCCCAAAGTGAACAATCTTTGGAGACGAAGGTAACACAAGTACAAAACCCCATCCCCACCCCTCTTCCTGGCTGCTTAATGTGTAGAGCCAGGCAGGGCTCTGGCTGCCAGAATCCTCACAATTGTCCCTGCAGGAACCCTGCGCTCTCCTTCAGCTCCTTTACCCACAGATCTCTCCTTTCCACACCCCTTCCCCAGCCCAAAGTTAATGCAATCAGTTACTCACACTATTTCTCTAAAAGTTGTTTTCGCATTCCTGAACTCTCGTTCTAGAGCTTGAACTTTCCAACTAAGAGGTTGGAAATGCCTATTTCCATCCCTCCTCATTTTCTCTACGCTCCTCACCCCATTTCCTCCAACCAGGCCCCATTCAAAAACCGAATGCCCAAATCCACCAGGATCTGATTTGATTCCTCCCCTCTTTGCAAAAGACTCCTCCCCTCCTCACAGAGACCTCAGCCCTCTCTGACATCTGTTCATCTCCTTTCCTCCCCACAAATGGAATTAGCCCATAACCTTGAGAAAGTAGAGTGAAGTGAGGATTAACCCAAGACCACCAGCCTTCCTTTGTTTCCATGCAGAATGACTAATTAGGTCACTAAGGTCAGACTTATCTGAGGAATATTTAAAAAAAAAAAAAAATAAGTCCCGCCTCCCATAGACCTTAGACACTGGCAGCTAAGATCTGGCCAAAGACAACCCAAGACAGGATGCCTGCATGAGGGAACGACCCTCCTTCCACCAAATGGGGCTTGAAGTGATTGCATGTGTCATGATTATCATTTGGTTAAACTATATGATTATGGCATAATAGTTTTTCCAATTTTTATACAACCACCACCTCTACTGGTATAGACAGTGCTTTATTGTTTACATGTTCTCTCATTTAATCCTGGCAGCAACCCTGAGGTAGGTATTATTATCCCCACTTTACAGATGAGTAAACCGATGTTCCTAGGTTAGATTACTTGCTGAAGATCATGCATTATTTGGGCACAGCCACTGATAATCCCAAACACAAGGGGACTTTTTTGGGTAGTTCACAGGCTGCTGCCAAGGAAAAGAGAGCTGAAAACTTCAACTGGGAGGGGATGGGTCATTCATTGGAGCTCAAGGTGAGGGAGGGGTTGGGCAGATCCCTCACCAGGGATGACTGAGGCACATTCAAAGGCCAAGACCAGAACTGAGCAAGGGAAGCCTAAAGCATCTGCAAGTTGTGAAGCTGGAAGAAGTCTTTAAGTTTGGTGAGAGTTGCTAGTGTCTTCAAATAGGCACAGAGCCCAACTTCCAGGGACTGGAGAAATGAGACACATCCAGCAGCTGCAAGTCCACGGGTGGCCACAGGGCAAGTGCAACGGGGCAGGGAGAGCTGTTGCCGAGTGGTGCCATCTCAGCTTGGCCAGCAGTGTGGCGATCCTGGGGCAGTGGTCCTTTACCTTTGTTAAGGCCTTGAGAATCTGATGAGAGCCATAAAACCTCCCCCCAGAAACACACAGACACGCACATACATTCTGCATACAATTTCTGGGAGTCGTTTGACCCCCACTGGAGAACTGCTTTACGGCAAGGGTGTCAACCTGAGTAAAGTCACTGATACAAACTTATCTTTAAACTGCTTGTATGCTTGTATTTCCTATGACTGTTCCCCTCTTGTTGTTCCCTAATATTTAGAAGGCTGTGAAACTTATTTTTAATGGGAGTTAAGGAAAGGGGGGTGCAGCCTATACTCCAGACAGAGAAAGAGCAGCTGTGCATGGCACTTCTGGCAGCCAGGAGGCAAAAAACAAACAGAAGGATGGGGTCACATGTACCGCTGCCCTTCCCACCTAGAAGGTCACTTTGGGAGTTTTTCTCAACTCAAGAGAAGGGTTGTGGGAAAGTCAAGAAACATATAGCAAGGACTCATGGACAAAACCAAAGGGGAAGAGTTGAGGGAGGGAGGGAGGGAGGGAGCAAGGGGCAAGGGAAAGTAGTAGGCGGTAGGCAGAGACAAATGTATTTGAAAAAATAAATTAATTTTTTAAAAAAAGGAAAGAAAAGCAAAAACTAACTGATCCACTACTAAAAAAAAAAAGAGAGAGAGAGAGAGAGAAGGGTTGTGAGAAGTGATAGAGGTTTGGGGTGGGGGGGGGGGCAGTGCTTTATTTTCTTTTAGAAGGAAAGCCATTCTGTCACTGGCTACAGGGTCTAAAGTTCTGCAGGTAATGCCTCCATCCCAGCCTTCCCCTCCATGAATATACCTGAGCATTGGCCTAGTCATTCATGCACATTTGGCCAGGTCTCCTATGAACACTCATATACACACATACTGTTTCATGAAAGAAGGAAAACTGGGGTGGAGGCAGATCCCAGGGCAGAGACTCCATGTTGTAACATGGGGATCATGCACTCCCCATGGAGAATTAGATTAACTGAGAGAATCAGCAAAACCACCCCAAGGCCTCAGTGCACATGAGCCCCCAACCACCTCCACAGCTCCTCCTTCCGGCCAGGGTCCAACCAGAAGGCAAAGTCATAGCTGTGTCCTATGCTCCTCTCCAAACTTACGGGCCCAAGTTAGTGGGCCAGGGCTGAAGTGGGTCACAGGGTTTCAGAGGGCATGGGTCGGAAATGTTCTGATTCACTGCAGAAAGAAGCTCTGATCTCTCGTGGGAATCAGGAATCAGGACTCAATGGCCTGGCCTCGAGCCCATCCAGGCCCAGCAAGGGCAGACACTGAAGTCAAGCGATCGCTCAAAGGCCAAAGAGAACTTGGGCCATGATCGTCTTCCAGGCCCAGTGACCCCAGCATCTCAACGGTCATTCCATGCCAGTGATCACTTGCCCAGCCCTAGATGGAGGTTTCATCACAAGTGGCCAGAGGAGCCCCGGTTAACCGAATGTGGGCTGGGCTCGGGCAAGGATCAAGCAGGAAGGGTGGATGGAAGCCACCAAAGCCACTGCCCCTCTTGCCTAGGGCCAGGGGCAGCCGCTCATCTTCAGGAGAGGGAGAGGGAGGATCCTGGCTGTAGCTTGTGGTCCCAGATGGCGGCGCCCCCAGGTCCAAGCCCACCTTGTCTCTAGCCAGAAGTTCTCTCTGTCGCCGTCGCTGCTGATGTCGACCAATCAGGAAGAGAGTCAGGGATGCTGCAAGAACCCCCAGGAAGAAGCCAGCCAGTCCAGCCCCCACTGTGTGGGCCCGGCTTGGGGGGGCCCGCTGGCTGCCCCATACCAAGCTATAAGCAGCTACCACACGGGCCGCCCCGCCCTCCTGACATTCACAAGCATAAGCACCCATGGCCCCTGGGGTTACCACCACCTCCAGCCCATCTCGCCGGGGGGTGAGAGCAGTCACTCCGCTGGGCCGGTGCCACACACAGGATGCCCAGGCTGAGCTTGGGGAACATGGCAAGACCACATGTGCAGCTGTAGCCACGGGAACTTCAAACACTACTGGGTGTTCTGCAGAGAAACAGCAAAGGCACAAAAGGTAGAGAGGCTATAGGCTGAGGGTATAATGGAGCGAAACACGGGGGGATATCAGACATGAGAAGGGGCCACTGGGGCAAATCTAAAAGGGGATTCCCAAAGAAGAAAAGACCCTGGGTCACTGGCTGCCGTATCTTCCAGGGTCCAAGTTTTCATGTCAGTCCAGAATAGATGACTTTCTAGCCCCTTTTCGCCCACTCCACCCACTCTACCCACATTTCCCTAAACCAGACAGACCTCCAGGCTCTTTAGGACACAAAGAAGAGACATCTGCTGACTCTATGTCTTGGACCAGCCTATAAAGAAGAAAATATTGGTAAATCCAGTGTCAACATTCCCTTCTACTCTCCTCAGTACCACTAAACATTCATTCACTCATTACATCTCTCGTCATCTCATAAATCCCTCCTGGAATTATCAGTCAACATGTTCATCATTAAAATTTCCCCCAATACCTATTATACTCATGATATTTGCCTAGTCAAATTCTACACATATTCTAGCAGCCCATAGAAAATTAAATTTGCACTAGGTCTGTTGGAAAGATGTTCCGTGGGAAACTTTCAAGAAATATACCATATTTTTCCATGTATAATGCGCACTGAATTTTTGAGGAAAAAATAGGATATGCATTATACATGGATAGTGCTAATTCTGTACCTATATAAATGTTTTTAATTCTTTTACCTGTGCTTATGCATTAAAAGTGTAACTCTAGAAAGCATTAATGATATCTGTATGCAAAATAATACCCTGGAATAAGATAAAATAATACCCTGGATATGGTTTTGTTTCTAAATATAATAAAAAATTAAAACAAAATATTTTTTTTCCTGAAAATTTAGGCCAAAAACCTGGGTGTGCGGTATGCACAGGAACACATTATACACAGCAAAATATGGTAGTTGCCTGTCCACAACCACAAGATTTCTCGGGGAAAAAAATATTTAAGCTACAGGGGTTTTTCTCCTGTTAAGAAAAAGGGAAAAATTCTGCTCTACAAAAGTTAATCAAAATTCTATGAGGGTCAGTGAGATGACTGTTATATAAAGCATCTCTCCTCTGTGTAGGAACTCTTTCTTCAACAACTGTTTTGGTAGCTATTGGCCTGTAACAGATCTGTTTCAAGTAATACAATTCTGGTACTTTCAGGATTTCAGTGGACTGTGTCTGACAGGACAGCAGGACAGACTGCTCATTTGGAACTTCCTGGCATCACTCCCAGAGGGAGGGAGGACAGTGAGACCCCTAACGGGCTGTCAGTGAAGACCGGGTGGATGTTCAGTCTGAACACACAAAAGTTTCAACCTAAGGTAGACTCCGTTTGAATGAGAACTCCTCCAATATGAACTGAGGCCCTGAAATGAGCTCTGAGACTGGTATGAATACATTCAAGTCTCCTGGGTAAAACCAAGTTTGCTTAGTTTAGCTGAAAGTGGGGAACAGGGGAAGGCCATATGTGCAGCTATAGCCACAGGAACTTCATGGTGTATGTCTTCTCCCTTATATGAATTGCGCTATGCAGTGTAGAGTGCAAAGAAATACCAACTTGGTAATTTCTTGTATTACAAAGTAGTACACTGGCATACACATACCCCACATCCCCTACACACATATATATGTTGAGGAAACCCTGAGGCTCAAGTACACAGAATACCCAAGACCAATGAAATTCTTACTTTAATGAATATTAAAACAATAAAGAAAAGAATAAACCACTTGCTTTGGCCTGAGATGTTTTAAATTTCTCCCAAGAGAAACTGAAATACAGGTCAAAGGTCTTAATCAAAAATTGATTCCTAAAGACAAGTACTTTAACATCTAAAATATTCTTAAGTTTGGGGTTCAGTAACATGGACAAATATAAAGTAAATTAACAGGGATTCTAAGTAGAAAGTCAGTCACGTGGTCCGGGCAGATCCAGTAAAGGGGCAAGGACATTGATTGAGGCAGCACAATAGATGAACAGATGAGTTAGTAGGGACAGACACTAAAACACACAAGGGACAAAAAGAAGAAACACACACACACAGAGGGCAGCACTAACAAATGAGAAATAAACAGCTACACAGATGGGCCAGAGCCCTGTGAGAGCAGACAAGGGGCCAGGGCAGCCACACTCACCCTCCACGCTCCCCAGCATGAGCCACACACGCATCCAGACGGAAGCTCCAGGCACAGACAGGGTCTTGGGCCAGGATACACTCTGAGCAGCTCTGGAGACGGCCACAGTTGGCTGTGTTCACTTGTGTCACCTCAGTACGGGAGCCAACCAGGAGCCAGCTCTACAGAAAGAAAGAAAGAGATATATGCTGCATCTCCCAGACTTCAGGGTCTCAGACTGGCTCAGAGGTCTCCCCACCAGGATCCCCAGATTTTACAACTCACTTGATACAATTTCATGCTCTCAACTGGCTGTGGCTCTGGAAATAAGGCCAGATCCTCAAGGACACTGAGCTTGGCTCCAATCCGCACAGCTCGGTGGAGGTGTCCATCCTCTAGGAAGTAGGCAAGGGGCAAGACATAATGACATAACTGTACTTGTGCCTGGGACTCTGGTACCTGTAAGTATGGGACTCTCTTTAATGAGAGCATGTGCACACAGGAAGGACAATGTACTTGGCTATTAGACATACCTGTCCCCAGGTGGAGCACATCATACTCTTTCCCTGAAAGGCTAGCCACCCTGTGAGCCACAACTCTGAGATAGACTGTATCTGTAGTGACCAGCAGGGGGTGACCATCAGCTGGAAACACTGGCCTATCCATGAGGGGGTGGTCCCGGATAAAGGTTAGCACACGGTCAGGCAGGGAGAGCGATGAGTCAAACTGCTGGAGCTTCATGTTATTGGTGACACACTAGAGGAAACACAGGATGGGTGACAAAGTTTCCCAGGGGCCAAGACGTATCTGTGATGCTTAGTGGGGCTCTTGTTCTAATGAGGCAATTCTGGAAGGGGGTGAAGAGCTGCGCCAGACCCCTTACCTCTCCCGGTCTGGGCTGGGGTACATCATTATCCATGACAGGCAGTCCCCTGTTGCAGTCATGTTTCAGCTCTCTGAAGGGACCATTCAGCACTGACCGAATGTCTTGTGGCCGGAAGGCACAGACAGCAGAGATGGCAGCCCCCTCCCTGGAAGATTCCCAGGTTGGAGCCAGATATTTGAAGGGAACTAGGGGACAACAACCCACTCCCTGTCAAATGAGATGACCCATGAAGTATGCACGGGAGCAGTGCAGCCTGCTCCTGGGAGAGGCCACCCCCTCTGGAGGAGGCAGCACTGACACTGTGCCAGCCCCACGTATCTCCCACCCCAGAACTCTCCTCCACACCAGGATCCCCTCACCACTGGGAGGAAAAGATGCCATAGAAGATGGGGGTTCCCACTCCAGTCTCAGGTCGAAGAATGGCCATGTCCTGCAGAACACTGGAGGCCCGGCCATGCTCAGGCCCTGGACACAGCAGGTCAGCCTTCAGAAATGTCGTCCACCTCTGCTGGAGGGTCTTCCGGCCACCAAGGTCCCCCTATGGGTGACAAAAGCATGGTACTTTTTAGAAGACCAACATTGTAAGGAAAATGTGGAGACCAACACAAGCTTCCCCCAATAAGGACAGATGGGGAGACAGATGCGTAGAAATGCAATGATGGAGATACAGGCAGAGTAACAGAGCAGCACGGGTAGAGAGGGTCACAATGACAGTAACTAAGTTCATTGTGCATTTGTGAAGTACCGTACTACATGCTTTACATAACTTACCTTATTTAGTCCTCAACACAACCCTATAGCTAGGCATCATTAATATCATCATCTGTAAGGAAGCTAAAAATCCTGCCCCAAATCACCAAGGCAGTAAGTATGGAGCAGGGCCTGGAGCCCAGGTCTGTCAACAGTTCCTGCCTTTAACCTCTACACTAACTAGTCCACCTCCTAGGGACAGTGTGTCACAGGGGTAATTATGGGGTTAAAGGGGCTAAAGCCCTTTCCCCATACTCCTCAGGCACCCAGAAAAGAAGACAGGAAAAATGGAGACAAAGGAGAGATGCAAAAACAGAGACCCAGAGAAGACAAGAAAGACAGAAGCCAGGCAGAGCAGGAGATGACAGACAGACAGCTGGGATCAGGGTCTCACCGCACACACACGGGCCACCCGAGGAACCTTAACGCGCTCATATGAGTCGAATGCTCGGGAAGTCTCCGTAAAGAAGAAGTAGATTTCATCATCTCCGTCTTCATCCCCCCACTCGGCTGGCCTCAAGGCCACGGCTGCGACAAAGGCTGGAGCTGGGGAGACATAGGCCTCAGATCCTGCAGGCACAGCCTGGGGCCCCCAGCCTCCACTCACCCTCTCTGTCCTCAGAGCACCCCTCCATCTCCCCACCGTTAAGCCAGGATGGCAAGGTCTCTGTCCGAATCCAATCCTCAGCACGACCCACAGCCCGGGAGATAATTGGTTCTGTCCCCAGGTAGTTTTTCACAGTGGCAGCGTAGAGGGCCCCCCCTGCAGAAAGATAGGGAGGAGATGAGCTGTAAGAGACCCACTGAGGGAAGCAGAAGGGGTCACAGGCAGCGCAGGGAATAAAGCAGGGGCAGGAACTCTCAGGGGCTGAGTGCCCATTAAGTGCTGGGCATCGCTAAGCACAAGAAAGGCATCCCCTCACTTAAAATCGTCATAGATACAAAATGCTCCAGGCCAGTGAGGGGAACCAGTGTTAAGGGAAAAGTGCCAGAATGTTAAGTGTGTATGAAGGGAAACTAAAAGCTGCCCTTTGGAAATCAGGCTGTTTGGCTGGTTTGCTTGTTGTTGCTGTTGCTATCTTACGGATTTCTCTATCCTGTAATATGTTAATTTACTGGGACTCTCCAGGAAGGGGGTTTGCTTTGCAGTACATCTTAATTTTACTTAAGTTTTCCCACTATGGTCAATGCCTGAAGGAAGTAGTGTTCTTTCTGAACATTAGTGGGCGTACACTGCTCTGGAACAAATCACAACTTCGGGGTACACCAGCATCACTGGGGGAAGTGATCAAAACACAGATTCCTGGGAGAGAAACAGAGGTGCAGCTCTGTGGGCTGAATGGGAGAGCACAATAGCCGCTCTCAGTACCGCTGCCGAGGGCTTGGACAGGAGCAAGAGAAAATGATTTAGGGGAGCAGCAGGTGACCACGCCCCTGGAGTTTTGTGTATCACACGGTTTCTAGAGAGAACAGAATTGCATTCCTTCATCACTGACTAAATACGAAGCACTGTGCTTCACATTTAAGCACATTGCTTCCCCCAAGAACCCTCATCTGAAACTGAAAGACAAACTTAATTAGGTACCAGGAGCTATGGATGCACAGATGTGTGCAGGAGCACAGAGGACGACCCAGCCAAATCTGACTGAGGGAGCAGCATTTCAGAGGTGACAGGTGAGCTGGGTCTGAAAAATGAACATTTGTCAACTAGAACCATTTCAGGGAGGGCAATGAGCAAGTGGGAAGAGGGGGGCCATGTTTAGGGATGGGGGGCACTCCCCGCGGCTGAAGTGCTGGTGGGCAAGCAAGCAGAGATGCAGCCGGAGATGCAGAGATGGGCACACAACCGTGAGGAATCTGCTCTGCCAAGATCAAGAACATGGACTTTATCCTACAGGTAAGAGCAAAACTGCAGAGATTTTCTTGAAGACAAGGTGACATAACCAGTTTTTGTTGTTAAGAAGATAATGCCAGTTAAGAGGCCATTCACACAGTGCAGGCAAGAGTGGAGGGCTTGAGCCGAGGCGGGGGCAGAAGGCATGAAGAGATTTGACTGGGGAGATATTTCTGAGGTAGAGTCCAATAACAAGACTTGAAAAATCAATTGAGTATGAGATGTGAAAGAATGGAATAAAATATAGCTCTAAGGTTTCCAGCTTAGAAGATGGATGATAGCAGATGGTGATATTTTGAGCCAAGTCAGGAAATGACAGGAGAAGGCCCATAAAGAAGATGGCTGGAGAAGAAATGAGCTTAGTTGTTGGACACGCTAAGATTGAAGTACCTTCGGGACATCTAGTCAGAGATATGGAAGGCAATCAAACAGAAGGGGTTGGGTAGCAGGGCCATGTTAAGCAACTTGGGTGTTGTGCTTAAGGGATGGCATGAACGTAATACACAGGGAGAATGGAAAAGCGAGAGAAGAGCCCTAGGACACTGCCATTTAATGGGAGAAGCTACAGAAGGCAACACAGGGGAACAAGTCAGAGAGGACAGAGAAGAAAGAGAGGCTGGTGTGCCTGGCAACAGAAAGCCTGGCAAGGGCCATGGGCCTCACACCCGGGAAGGAAGCTATAGAGAGTAGGGCCACTATAAGGGAAAAACAGTCATGCTGTAGTCACAGCTGTTCGAACAAAGCCGCATGCCTCAGGGACTGGAAAAATAACTCTATGTGTTATGCAGAGAAAAATAGGGCCAGGAGCCCTCAGAGGGCAAAATGGAGGGTTAAAAACCTCCTTGTGGGATGGGGAATGGAGACTATACTATTGTTTGGGATTGTGATAAGAATCCAAGTGTGCTGGAGCCAAGAAAGCTGGGGTTTGAACACTGAATACTTACTAGTAGTATGATCTTGGGCAAATGAACCTTCCTAAGCCTCAGGTTCCTCAGAGCAGTGCTGAGGCTTAAATGGGATAAACACGGAGCCCCAGGTGGGGCCTGGCCCCATGGCTGGTATTCTATACATGTTGGTTACAGCTCCGTATGAAATCTCAATGGGCCATATGCTTAAATTGTTTCCAAAGGTAGGGAACTATACATGGGTGTCCATTTCCTTGCAGAGGTTTCAGGAGAGAGAAAACCAGGTTCTGGGCACAGGTCCTGGCAGCAAATGAGCCTAACCTCTGTGTTACCAATGGAGGGAAAAAAGGTGATAAAGAAGCCAAAGTTGGAATGGAAATTTTCCTAAGAGTGTTGTACACAAAACACTCTAAAACCGAAACTCTGGTGGAAGCTGTGTCATGGATACCCTGAGAATGGAGAGAGATGTGGTGGAGACCGTTATAAATATTTTGGGAGCATGATTTGGTGTGTGTGTGTGTGTGAGTGGGGAGACAACTGTAAGTATTCTGCAAACAGTGAAGGGCCTCCAATAACCATGCAAGGATCCAGTAGGAGATGGTGGTTAAAGGCTCCTAAAATTTTCTAAGGGATCAAAGGAGCCTAGAATTGTTGAGGAGCACACTCAGGATGGAATAGCAGAGGGTGACCGACACTAAGGTGCAGTAGAAGGGATCAGGCACTTTGGGACGAAGTAGCAGGGTTCCAGGTGTTCCAGGAGTACCAAGGGACTTACACACACACACACACACACACACACACACACACACACACACACACACACACGGAACAGCAGCCATCTGTCAATGAGGGCAAGAATCCACAAGAGGGCACAGGATCATCCCATGTTCTAGATGCTCCAAGACAGTCTCACTTCAAAGTATTCTGTTGCACTGTCCACATAATAAAATATCCCTGCACATGAAATTTTTGCTGGATTATTACTGAATAGATTGAGTCAATAGACAACAAAATATACATCTGCTATTGGCAAAAGGTGATGTGCAAAAGGGAAAGATGCCCAGAGTGTTGAGTTCAGTGAACAAGCTAGTTAAAACAAAGCACTGGGTACAATTCAGCTTGATTTTTAAAGACAGGTATGCATGCCTGCAGACATAGGAAAAGCTGTCAAAGGAGCTACAACTCTACAGTGTTAATGATGTTTGCTTCTAATGAAATTGCAAGTGATTTTTATTTTCTCCTGTATACTTTTTTGTATTCACTGATTGGTTTTTGTAGTTAGTATCTTTTAATTTTATGACTCCCCAAAATAAGATATTTTCATTCTGGTAATACAAAAATAAACCTAAAAAATTGGAAGCCAAAAAAGAGGAAAAATCACAATTATTTGTGGAAGCCACTCTCTACCTGCTCAACATAAAACGGATGAGCACAGGCCTCAGAGCTGTGTTAGAGCCCAACACTGACAAGCTAGGGTAGTGTCATGGCAACAAATACTGCAATACTCTGGAGTTTAACATTTTCACTTTCTTATCAAAATGTACACCTTTAAAGGTTCACAATAGGAACTATCATTCATTGGCATTAAAAAGATAATTTTAAACATGCCCTGGCTTTCCTTTCTCCACTCCCTTTTCTCCATTTCCTTAATTAAGGATTGGACAGCTAGATACTTTCCTTTTAAAAAATAGCCCACTGTATGGACATAATTAGGTAGTTAGAGATGCAATGTTTAAACTCTGTTGGCCATGTAACCGTGCTGTTTCAGTGTGTGAGTATTAGTCTTTCGGGCAGACACACCTGAATTTAAAGAGGTAGGCGTGGACCCTACGTGCTGGCAGCACCCAGTGTATCTGGAACGTTTGCAGTGCTCATTGGCAGAGGCAGTAACCACGGGATGCAATGAGACCAAGAGGAGATGATAAAAAAACAGGACAGGCTCCCAAAAAGAAAGAACAAAAGCTCCCTCCCTTTGCTCTTCTTGATGAAAGCCTTGTTTTTTTCATAGGAAGTTATAGGAAGGACCACAGATGACTGACTGCTGTCTCTATCTTTGGTACCTGGGTGGGTATGATCTCAGAGGAGGGGACACTGGTGGAGGAGCAGCAGGTCTGGGGGAAGTGGGTGAAGATGATGAGCTCAGTCTGAGACATGCTGTTTTTGAAGTTCCTGTGGGACATCCAAGTAGAGAGTGGGAAGGCAGTTGGATGTGTGTGGTCTGTAGCTCCAGATAATGCCTAGGAGACACAATGCGCTGGAAACAGAATCCACAGAGCTGCTTTTGGAAGATTAGGAAGACATCAGATTTGGGAGACATCAGTATGCAGTGAAAACAGAATCCACAGGGCTGATTAAGATCATATCCACATAAATCAAAAGAAAAGAGGATGGTGAATGGAAGCCTAAGAGGCTCCGACATTTATAAAGATGAGCAGAAGACAAAGATCCTACAAAGGAGACTGGAAAGAAACTGCCAATGTTTTTAGGCTAATGTGAACACTATTGTCAAAATATTTGACAATATTTCTGAATATGAATAGTGCAAATAGAGACACTGCGATCATTTTGTTGATTTTATCTAAGTGCAGTACAAATAAATGTCATGTTTGAAGATAAGGTTTCGGAGGCTTTTCCCAAAATAAATACAAGTACCAATAAACACATGAAAAGTTGTTCAGTCTCACTAATAAAAATGCAAATAAGAAATACACAAATTGTACTTCAGAGGTGACTGTTTGTATGTTTATTACATATGTTACTTGGGACTGACAAGGATGTAATGAAACAGACCCCCTCATCACTGCAGGTGGGACTAACTGGAGGGAAATTTAGACGAATTCATCAAGCATCATAAAAATCTTTATACATGTTGGCCCAGCAAGTCTGCTTTTTAGATTGACTCACATGCAATTAATTACATTTATGTAAAGAATTTATGTAAAAATATTTCTTCTACAGCATTATTCATAAAAGCAATAATTTAAAAATCTGAATGTATAATGTTATGGGAATAATTAAATTGTGCTATATTCATATGATGGAATAGTATGTAATCATTAAAAATCATGTTTTGAATAATTAAACAATTTCTATGGTGAGAAAATGGTTAGTGAAATATGCATAGTAATTCCAATTTATTATACACAGACACAGGAAAAAAAATACTCTAAAATAATAATAGTAGTTACCTGGTAATGATTGAATTGCAAATAAACCTTTCACTTTCTTCTTTAACATATCTACATTTTCTAAATTTTCTACAATGCACATTGTAATTTTTATACTTTAAAATATATTATTTTATTATATTATATATTATTTTATCATACTCTAATAGTACTTTCATTACTAAAACCTCTCTTTATTTCAAAATACCTCTATTATCTTTAAGGACATTTTTGTATCTCCTAACGAAGAATTTTGGTTCTAGTTCTTCCCTAATGTTGGCACAATTTTCTATCCTGCTGTTTTCAAAACAGAGGGCATAATGGATCAACACTGAAAGCTCCAATTAAATACTGACACTTATGTCAGACCAAGAAAAATTTAAATTATAGCCCTATAAAGTAAGAACTTGAGAGAAAAATTTATAATATTGGTTTTGACTGTGACTTGGATCTGAAAATGGAGACAGGGAGATTCTATGTTAACTGTCTAAAGCTAGTCATTCTAAACTGTTAGGAAGTGATTTCTGATCACTTTCATCAATAAAAGCCAACACTCAATTTCATTAGCTGGAAAACAAAAAGACTTGAAATCTTTTTGAAAACGTTATTCCTTTTTGAAAATTTTCATACAATGACCTTATTCATGAAATTTGTGCCCTTAAATCACATGCTAAGGTAAATCCACTTGCTAACTGGAACACTGAGAAATTACAAGCACAAGGCTGAATGTGCTAAAGTTTACTGCTTAGGAAAAAAAGAAAAGAAAAAGTATGTTAAATGATTACCTTAGATTGCTGTAATTGAGAAGGTTTTTTGATAAACAATTATGTAGAATCAAGAGATATTCACAACTGCTATCTTTCCTAATGATCCCAATAACTGGCTCAGAGTTTTGCCAAACATGTTTGATAAAAAGCCAAGAAAAAGAAACCATTGATTAAACTATTTTATTCAAATATGTATGAGTATAAATAAGGTTTCATCAACTTCAACTATAGATGAATAATAAAAGTAACAACCCAAATATTCTATTTACTAGATATATAATTATGTTCACTTTCAAAACATTAATTATCTGACTAAAAGCTATTTAATTCATATAGGTTTTAAGACTTTTTCCTATAACGGCATGCACAAGAAAAAGGTTTCATTGTTAGATCTTATATCCCAATTTTTGGTTTTCATAAAATATTACCAAAAAAGTATAGGTAAAATTAATTTTATGACAAAGTTCACAGCAAAAGTCAGTGAAGAAAGAAAAAACAGTTTGATGAATGAACGATTTCCCAACTAGTCAATTGATTAGCTAGTTGGGAAAAATTTAGATCTCCATCTCTCATCAAAATAAGTTCAAAATAAATAGAAATGTTAAATGTTTGGGAAAAAAATTTTAAGAAAAAAATTTTATCAGCTTGCTACCTGAAGAAGGACTTAGCTTTAAAAATGTAATTAGAAAAGAAAAGATGCAGATGGAAACACTAATATCCTACCTAATAATTGGCCCAAGAATGTAAGCAGAGGACTTATCAGAAGAGAAATAAAAACAGTACTAAAATATGAAAAATGTTCAACTTCACTAATATTCAAATAAATACAGACTAAAACAAGGTACTATTTTTAGCATCAAAGATCTTTTAAAATGAGAATAATACATTCTAGAAAAATTTATGTGAGAAAAAAATACTCTCAGCTACTGCTGATTTAAGGTGTGAATTGGTACACTATTTGTAAAAACTCAATTAGCAACAGATAATGAGCCATAAAATGTTCACACCTTTTAATATAGTAATCTACTTCCAGAACTCTTAAGAAGACAATCTGAAATGAGGGCAACTTTGTTGACTCCTCTGAGCAACAAAGGACTGGCCAGCAAAATATGTGCATGAGTGTCTATGTATGTGCACACACACATATTACAAAAGGCTAGAAGGAAATATCCTAAAATATTAACAGTGGTTTTCTGAGTAGGGATACTGTAGACCTGTGCTAACACAATAGCCACTATACACATATGACTACTTACATTTTAATTGAAATTAAATACAATTTAAACTTATTTCCTTCAGTCACATTAGTCATATCTCAAGGGCTCAATAGCTACATGTAGTTGGTGGCTACCATATTGGATAGTCAAGGTTCTTCTGAACAGTGCAGTTCTAAATTTTATATGTTCCTTATACTTTTTCCAAATTATTACAATATGCATTGTAGCAAATTCCTCTTATAAATAGAAAAAAATGAGAACAGAAAATGAGGTTAACAGAGAAAACACACTAAAGGTGCAGAGAACACATTCTCTAGAGAGAATCCAGGGAGACAGTACTCTGGGAAGAACAGGAAAGGCTAGAAAGAGACATAGGAATAATAGACATTCCTAGGAAAGGAAGGAAAGGACACAGAAATTCCAACAACAGGGGTGGGGAAGGAAGCAATTATAGAAGAAGTTACAGGTTCTTATCTCTCCCACTCACCAGCCATTACAGCTGCTGACCGCTGAGCTGGCTCAAAAGGACATTTCCCCCGGCCACTCTCAATTCTTTCAACCTGCTGGAAACTGGACACAGCCTACAGACCAGAAGGGGGCAATTGGTTTAGGGGTCATGGGGAGGTTCATGATGAAAATTACAAAGATGGTCAGATGAAGGAAAAGCCCAATTCCCACTCCTCTGCTACCATCCCCATATTCCTAGTCTGCTACTCCTGATTCCCCTGCCCACTCCTGCATTTCCCACCTCTGCCATCCCTCTTGTCATCACTTTATTCCTCGTCTTTCAATTCCCCTAGTACCCAACTACCACAAGCTCTGATGAAGGAACACCTAGGATGGCCCTAGATGACACTGAGAGTCTGAAAGGCAGATTTTTCCTCTGAAATGCTGCTGAAATGTAGGGTTTGCAGCTGCCTAGAGAATGTGCTACATACAGGACAAGGAGGACCAGGGAAGACAACAGGCCTCCTGAGGCCTGATGCCCTTAGGAAGGGTAAACAAAAGTAGCATCTGATATAAGGCCATCTGAAGCCCAGGGGTCTAAAGAGAAGGGCCATCCTCTTCCTACTCCCACCCAAAAGACGAAAGACAGGACCAGAGTCAAGGATACAGAAAAGGAGGAAGAGAATCTGCAAAGTCAGTGAAGGCCTGAAACTCAGGTCAGAATTTGAGGATTTGCTAAGTAAATGCCTTCCTCATCCAGGGACTCTAGAAGGAGTGACCTGGGAGGGGATGAAAGGTGTGAGAGCCGGCCATAAGTTACCTAAGCTAAGCATCATGCACTAAGAGAGGCTTCAAGATAACATCTAAAAATAGAATCAGGAATGATTTCAACCTAGAACGGACAGGCAGCATTAGCTGTGGCCGGTCAGGAATCAAAGATACGGCATGGAAGTGCCAGACATATCTCTGGCTCACAAACTAGTGTGGACATAAGGTGTTTCCTGGGGGCCTAACCACTGGGATTGTAGTTGGAGTAGTAATGTAGATGTATGTCCCCTGAGCATAAGTACATTACTGGCCCGTTATGACTGGCCCATTCATGTCTATTTGCTGTACTGGCAAGCAAGGTTTTATTTTATGGAGGGAGTCTTGGAAGAAAGCTTGTTAAAACTAGATGTGACCTGAGGTCCCCCAAAAGGTAATACTGGGTCAAAGAGTTTTCTGGAATAGAAGACCAAGCACCTTACTTGTGTGGCAGTGGCAGCATCCTAGCCTGAGGAAAAAGTGACAATTCAGTGAGAGATTATCAAGATGCCTGGGCCTTTGGAAGCAGGGTTAAAACCTGCTGCTGTGGCCCTTCTCAACCTCTCACCTCCTTTTTGCGATGCTGCCTAGACTCGTCTCCAATTTACTCTATATATCCAACTCAGAATAATATTCATAGACTACCAATCACTGACTTAATAATTTTTGAGCAGGAGAATGACAAAATAGCTCACTATTGCCTGGAGTAGAAACTCTTTAGCCCAAGTTACTTATTCTCCAATACTTCTTAAAAGGAACTCTTTCTTCTAACCAAACCTGGATCACCTGTTATTCCTAGAAACACAAAATTATGTTTCCCCATCTCTATGCCTAAAACTACTCCCTTACATTTCACCAAGGACTGAACAGATGAGCCTTTTCTCAATTCTTATTCTCTTTAATCTTTAGTTACCTTTTGCTGCTTTTGACTTACTCCCCTCCTGGAAATGTTTTATTCCTTGACTTTCTTGAAACTTCACCCTGGACTCCTTCCTCCTAATTGTTTCTCCATCTCCTTTGGTTGTTTCTCTTCTTCTTTCTAGCCCCTAACTATGAATCCTAAAAATCTATCCTTAGTCTTTTTCACATACACGTTAAAGACCCCATTTACTTTTATACTGCCAGCCAGACCTTCTATGCAAATCATTCCCCAAACCCCACAAGTCCGAGGTCCATCTGAGGTCTTCCAACTCTAGTCCACCTTTGCACTTGACTACTGGACTTCCTCACAGAGATGGCTTAACAGCCTCTTAAAACTCATCATGCCAAAACTAGTCCTCTTCCAATTTCCCGAGATAGAATAACTGTTATCCAGGTTTACAGCCTTTGAACAAGTGAGCCTCCTATTAAGCAAACAGGTTATTATAACTGTATAGTCAAAGTATATGTATTAGGGTTTCAAAGGGGCAAGACCACTGTACTACATTCTCTCTCTGAATGTTGAGATTCTTCCTTGTGTCGTCATTATGTCAATCAGCACATCGTTTATGGTGAAGGCGTGTACCTCAAGCTGAATGCCAGAGCTAGATAGGAAGGCTCTCACTAAGGTGTGGGGTTGGAATCCATTCTTCCTTCTTGGCCAAGGACCTTTCCCAGGTGGTTGGGGAGACGAGTCAGGGGAGATGGCCCCTGTTACATGAAACAGGTCAAATATCACAAGAAATTCAAGCCAGGTAAGCTCTTCTGTGTTGCGGATTGGGCTAGGGGGTCAGGGCAGTGGAACAGGGCCAGCAAAGCTGGATTTGAATCTTGGCTCTTCCTCTGCTAGCTACATAACATTAGACATGGTACCTAACTTTTCTGAACTTTCATTTTATTGCCTGTAAAATGACCAGAAATAATACCTAAATATTATGATGAAGTGGTGAGAATTAAATTCAATCACGAATGTAAAGTACCCAGCACCAAGCCTGGGCCAGAGTACTCAATTGAATGTGTAGTCTTGTCATTTTAAGCCTAGCATTTTTCTCTTAACTGATGGAGTTCCCTCATAAAAAACAAATTAAAACATTCTCTTCCAATAACTGATGAGCTGTTGCTGAAGGGCAGCACTCCAAATCATTGGAACTAATAGGTCCAGTGCTTGAACTTCCTTTTGTAAGAACCTTCATTTCTCCAAGCAATCAACTCTGAGCAAGTTGTTGTGTCTGATGCAGCTTAGCTAGTCAAAACTCTCGGGTACTAGTTATGCACAGTCTCTAAGTCCTCAGTCTGGGACATGAGAGTTTCAGCACTAAGCATAAGGCAAGAATTTGCTCAAGCAGGTGGGCATTGCCAGATAGCAGGATAAGATGGGCAGGTAAAGGCAGAAGAGAGCATTCAGAAAGTCTAGAGGGCAATCTCAGTGTGTTACTTGAAGGTTTAACACAGCTGATGTTTCTGCTACAAATAAGACTTAACAGAAGGGCAGTCCTTCATTTCATGAGCCTGCTATATGGTTGAGAAAAAGAGCTGAAAGTTGTGGGAATGCACAACCAGACCCCTGGTTTCGCTCTTGGTGCTGATATTCCTTAAGAGTGGACAAGGGTCCAAGTCACACCAATCCCAGCAGGTGTGTCCAGAACATTTTCTGTCTGGTTACCTAACAACCATTAGGTTCCCACCTCAGAAAGCCAACGAAAAACAGAAGGCCCTAGGATACTAACTTGGAGTGACTCTAATGTCTACAAGCCATGGGCTTGTTCTGATATTCTGATATTCATACCCATGGGCTCCCCAGCCTGCACAGATTAAAACAGGACAAATGTAGCAATGACAGTTCTACAGCTACTTTGTGAGCCTTGAGAGAACTATAGGGAAACTTGATATTCAATATTACCTGATAGAATACAGAGATTTTCAATACCACCCTGACCTGGGAGACATTCCCAGGATGACAAGATGAGGTAGCTATCCACACTCTGAAGCCTGGAGTCTACATCCACATTATGAAAAGGGCACAGCACAAACCCAACCAAACCCAAGGGCAGACCAGAGGGACTGACTATATATCAAGCATCACAATTACAGTATTCTAAGCCAGAGATATGAGGATGGTCTTTAACAAAGAGAGGTTTGGAGGTACACACTGTCTAGATCCAGGTGGCAAGGATTACTGAAGACTGCAAGAGGGTCAAGATCTGCAGTTAAAGATCAGGGTCAGGAAAAAGAATCATTTCCCTCCCTCTTGTTGCTGTAAGGAGCAGGAAGGGAAGACCCTGGACAAAAAGGACGCATGAAGCTTTCAACTCATCACAGGGCCTTGATACTAACATTTGCTGCCAGGGGACCAGTGATGGACTACTAGATAACTGATGGGAAAAGATGAAGATTCAAAAACATAAAGACCTTTTCTGAAATATCACCAGTACCAAGCACTTTTGTGACCATGACTAGCCTAGATGTGATCAGGAGTATATATGTCCCAAGCCTGCCTGGGTGTGAGCAATGAACATGACCTAGAAGAAAACATGGTTCACAGAGTGGCCACCTTGAAGGCAAGACCCAGAGTATGGACCAGCAGGTGCTACATTAATGGGCACTGACCTGAGAAGCTCATGAGAGCAGCAGGGCACAGCCCACAAAGAATGAAGTTGGTAGTGGAGCTGGGAGAAGGTGGCGAGAGTCACATGCCATGGGATGAAGAAATAGGCATGGACTATGATGATTAAGAAATGGACCAAGAAAAAAAAAGAAAGAAAGAAAAGGACCCAGGCTGCCTGGACAATGCATACATAGGACAAGGATAACATGACTCCCTAGTCTCTGAAGTAGTCTCTCCTGGATTTCTCCTCTCCCCATCCCAGCTAGCATCCCTAACCTCCTTCACCACCCCACTACATCTCTCTTTACACTTAGTATAACTTACCTTCTACAGGCAACCTCCCTCCCCACCCTTTTGTACCCTCCTCCAGTGGCAAAAGCTCCACCCTGTGAGGACATCCCTCACCCCCAAAGCTTATCATGCACAAGCATTGCCCTGAGCATGCCCCCCACCATGGTCACTCACAGACGACCCTTCCCGTCCTCCCACCCCATCACTCACAATAACCCCGCACTTCGGATCAAAAGCGAAGGTGCCACAAGTGAGCAGGTGAGAGGCATTGGCAATGGCGAGAATCTGGACAAAATTGTGACATTCGTCCTGGGGGTCAGAGATGGTTAGAGAAAATCAGAAGCAGCAGGTACAAGGAAAGGTAGGGTAGTGTCAGGCCAGTTAGATGCAGCTCTGCGATCAGAAATGATGGGTGATGATATGGTGTTAGAGTCCCTGCCTGGGCCCATTAGGATGGCAGCACTGCAGGGGATTGACACAGAGTCAGGGCTAGGCCAAGGTCTTAATTGACACTCAGGACAGGGCCCAAATCTACACCTACCTCTTTCTTGCCTTTCTTCCTACAGTTCTGCCTGTGGGCCTCAGGCACTATCCAGTCGATCTGAAAAAGAAGGAATGATGATTTCCCCCAGATTCTCTCCCATCTTCTCCCAAGTCAGGGTAGGTAACACAGTTGCACAACCTCCATCAATTGAGGAAATTCAGAGACACCCCCCTCACCCCTAGGGTAGTGTTTTTAAAACTGCAGGTCTCTACCTATTGACTAATGAAATCAATTGTGAAGTCATAACCAACATTATTTTTAATGAAATATGTCAGAATGTATCATATATAGGAGAGTACATATTGGTTCAAGAAAATTTTTTTTCCATGCACACTTTGTGTACCAGCTCAAAATGTACCATATATTTCTCACTACAGGGTGGTCAAAAAAAAGTTGGAAAGCTACTAAACTAGAATAATGTGATTCTAATGATTCTTCTGCACACTGTTACCTAAGACTTGGTCACTGTGGCCTCCTCCCATAGCCTCCCTGGCTACCATAAGCCTCCAATCACCTTCAGCTGAGATAATGTAATTAATGACCTCCCCTTATTCATTTTCACCAACACTTCACCTCCTACCACAACATCCCCCGCTCCCCACTACATCCCATATAACCATGGACCTCATTACATGCTCTGGGGTCTTCCCCATTCTTATCTCTCACCCTGTGGGGTCTCTTCCCTGAGAAAGGTAGAGATAAAGCGAAGATGGTGTCCCGGGCGCCAACATAAAGTGTATGGGTAGCAGGATCCACAAGGAGAACAGAGTAATTGTATGTCTGAGGGACGGTGAATCGGGTGAGATAGGAGTCAGCCTCTGGCAGAAAGAGAGAGTGAGAGGGAAAAGTGATATCAGCCTTTGCTTCATGAGGGTTAGGTCCACAGGGTAAAGTCAAAGGGGTCAATTTTTGTTTCCTTCCAAGTACCATTTATTTAGCAGCCATCAGGGGGAAAAAACAGCCTGACAGGCCATCTAACTTTCCCAAAGATAGATAGCTGAATGGGCCAGAATATTTAGCACACAATCCAGTCATGTATGCTTTTTCTATAAAAAAAAAAATACTTTATTAAAATAACAGCATCAATATTAAGTCTGTAATTTCTGTTCATAGCAACATGACATACAATTTGAAAATACCTATACAAGGTACAAGTACTTTCCTCTCTGAATTTTCCTTTTTTAAAAAAATCACTACATAATAACTTTTTTCAACTTAGTAGGGAAATTCTTCACTCTTTTCACTAACATATTAGGAAACTATCTTCTCTCTCTCCCACAGCCCCTGACCTCCTCCCACCCCCATTCCACCCAAAGAGGTAGGAAGTATAGTGGGCAAGACCGTAGGCTTTGGAAACGAATCAGCCCGAGGTTAAATCTGGCTCTTTCACTTACCAGCTGTATGATCTGGAGTAAGTTATTTGCCCTCTCTGAGCATCACTTTCCTCATCTGTAAATACCACCATCCAGGGTTGTTGAGAGAATGAAATGAGATAGTATATATGGAAGCATCTGACTCACACTACATGTTTCACAAGTGGTTTCTTTCTTACTTTCTTAAGTATGAGGTTTGTTTTGGCCAAATCTAAATCTCACATTAGCATTCAAAATTTTATCTATTTAAAGATTATAACAAATAAGTTAGCATAATTTACCTTTTTAGCTCAATGTCTGGCTCTGGGGGTCCTATCCCTGCACCAATACAGCTCTGTTCTACCTGCTTCATCTGCTCGGCTACCCTCAAGGACAGATAGAATGGCCAACAGCCATTCATCCCTAGATTTGCTGATGTATGGAGCCCCACCCATCTTTCACATCCACATTCCTAACTGTGCAGTATCTCTCATGCTTAGAGTAAGCCCTGGATCCCCCAACCTCCCTTTGTATCCCCAGCTCTGCTTCATCTTGCCATCTAGACCTCTCTGGATTCCTGAATATCACCCCAACCTGGCAACCTCAACTCTATGTAGTGGCTATTCTCCAGCACAAACTGAAAGCCCAGGCTCTGACCACAATTTCGTCTTCTGGATTCAAAACATCCCTATATGTCACTGGTGTGAAGTTTAGACTCTAAATTTAGACTCTAAATCGCCCAGTTGTGAGTTTTTGCCAACAGGTTGTACTCTCAGCTTCACTTAATCTGTCTCCCCAAAGTGCTAACACTCAATGTCCACTGAGAAGAAAACAAGATCTACAGCCACAGTCGTGCCCACCTCAGCAGAGAGCCTTTAAAGCGGTCCAATAACCACTTTTAACCTTACGGCATCCCCTGGCTTCTTTGCCATCTTTTGAAAGGACCATGTCTCCTTCCTTCTTTTTTTCTTTCTGAAAACTTTAAAAATCATGTCAACAGAATTTTAAGTCAACTCACTGAATGGTTCCCCAACATTCAATATAGGGGATGGGTAGAGAGAGTAGGCAACGTTAGAAGTTAGGGTTATGATGGATCAGATAATGGGAGAATGTGAGTTGGTGTCAGATGTGATAGGACTGGGAAAGTGGGTTAGAGAAGATTAGGGCTGAGAGCAGGGTAAAGGGGGTAAGGCGATAGAACGGAAGACATGGGAATGAATCTGAGAAGTGGGCAGATGAAAATGCTGAGCTGGTAATCAGAAGAATGGGTGGTTGGAGTAGAATAAAAGATCTATGGGCTTCTGACTGGCATGACCCACACAGGCGCATGTCTGGTAGGAGGGTAACGAGGGAGAGCGAACTTCGAAATGGATGACCTCGGGCAACTCCCATCCCCTCCCTGGGCCTCGGTGCCCGAGTCTGCACTACGACGGGCTTAATGCTCCCGCGCGCGGTCCTGCGAATAAGCGGCCGCGGGAGCCGCCAGGGTGTGTCCAGGGGAGCCGAGATGCGAGGCCCCCGCCCAGGGACGCTGTGGAGCAGCCCCGCGTGGGCGTCCCGCCTGGAATCGGGCGGGGGTGGGCAGCGCGGTACGCCGCACACAGAGCCGAGGGGCCCCGGGTGCGGCTGCCCCAGTCAGGAGGGCAGGTGGGTACAGGCACCTGCGGGCGGGGCCTGGGCGTAGCGCGAAGGGCTGAGGGCGAGGACGCCCGCGCCTTACCGGAGATGGAAAGCGAGGTCCTGGGCACCGAGCGGGGGACGCGGGTGGACACCTGACCACTCAGCACCGCCAACAGCAACAGCGGGAAATGCGAGCCGGGAGGCGGCCCGGGGCCCGGGCGCGGCCGCACGGAAGAGGCCGGCATCTTTGGCTCCGCCTGGCTGCCGGGTGGGGCGCACCCTACCCCTTCAGCCCAGGGCCGCTGAACCGCTGGCCTTGTTCCCCCTCGTTTCTCCTCACCGAGGCAGGGCCTGCGGGTAGCAGACGAAACGCAACCCGGCTCCGCCCTTTCAAGAGGGGGCCAATGGCCGTGCTGATTTTCTCCTTCAGCCAATCGGGGTTGAGTGGAGCGTAGGGCTGAAGAGATGAGATGCCCAACTCAAGGAGAGGCGGAGCTAGACCCAGGTGTAGGTCGGAGTTCTTCTTCCGAATTGGGCTGCAGGTGTCACGCGAGGACTGCTAGTAAAATTTTCACAAAGTCACACCTATTATCTTTAATTCAAGAACTAAACCCTAATATTTTCTATTGTATTACATTTTATTCTATTTCATTTTTTTTAAATGCTGGTTACAGCCCACTAAATAGATCGTAATACCTATTAATGGATTGAGTTCCCCCCTTTGAAGAAAATCACAGCCCTAGGCAGTCTCATTTATACCAATTTAATTAATATCTCTTTCTAAATTTACAACCCTAGTCCATATTTCTCTCTTCAGTTTCTGACACATACATGCAACTGCTTATTGAATATCTCCACTGTGTCCCACAGGTACCTTGATTTCAACATGTCCAAAATTGAACTGTGATCCTCAACCCCCACACAAGCTCGGGTAACTGGGCACATGGTAGAAGCAACGTTTTCTGTCTCTATATATAGTACCACTATCTTCCCAGCTGTCCGAGCCAGAAACTTTGCATTCATTTATTTAATAAATATTCATTAAATTACTACTATGTCCAAGACTCTGTCATTCTGGAATCCTCTTAATCAATCCAATCGATAACCAAGCCCATTATTTTAACTCCTAAATATCTCCACCACATCTCTTCATCTTCCTACCAACACCCTAATTCAATCTATCATCTCTTGCCTAGGCTAATTCCTACTCCATTCTTGTCTCCATCTCCATCCATCACTCTAATTCCAGCCCCCAATCCATTCCCCTTAGGACAGATAAAATGTTTTCTCTAGTACATTAATTAGACCATATCATTCTTTTGCTTAAAACACTTCAGTCCACCTAAATCCAAAATATAGTCCACAAAACTTCACATGTTCTGGTCCTTTGCCCTACCTCTTCCACATACTAGTCTTCTGGACTGGTTGATTTTGTTCATCCCACCAGAATTCCCTCTGCATAGAATGCTCTCCATGCCCCTTGCTTGGCTAACTCCTATTCACTCTACTGATTCAGCTCAGAATGATGATACCTTTCTCTAGGAAACATGTCCCAACTCTGTGCTTTCCTAAGTGCCCCCATGACCTTGTACTTCCTGTAACACATACCGCGACCACATTGCTATTGCCTAAGTACTTGTCTACCCTTCACAGACTTTAAGCCCCAGTAAGACAGGGCTCATTATATTCTTAGAGCCTAGCACAGTGCCTGGCATATCATAGACAGTCAGTAAATATTTGGAGGATGTTTGTTTAATATCTTTATTAGTGCCTATTACATTGCCTGGAATTATTTGTTAAAATATTCATGTGTTAGTCTGGGTCCTCCAAGAAGCAGACACCAAGATGAGATTAAACATACAAAGATTTTATTAGGAGAATCACCCATGAGAGAAAACGTGGAAGGAGCAGGGAGAGGCTGTGAGAGCAGTCAGATGTGATGCAAGTCTGACCCTAAGTGGAGAAGAAAGGGAAGGAAGAATCCTAGACTGTAAGAATCCAGCAAGGCTGATGAAGAATCACCGAGCCAAAATTGCCATTAAAGGAATTCTGTGTCTCCCAGTATCAAGCCTGCCTTAGTACACCCACCACATTGTCGTTAGCTGGGAGAAGCTTGTGGAAAGTGAGGTCTCCATGCAAATATGGCAGTGCATTCTAAAGCACTAGCTCATGCCCTTGATCAATTATCCTTGTAGTTGAACGTCTGCAAGGTACTTTCTTAGCAATCAGTTTGTCACCCTCAGAGTTTAGTGGGGTCTCCAGGAAATCATGTCATAGTCCCCCAAATCTGACATAGTCCTTAGCACATTTTTCAATCAGTGCTACTCCAGATGGATTAAACAACATATACAGAGATTGTAGGTGAGAGCAGTGGGTGTTGTGGTTTGGAGCTGAATGAAGATATTGTTGGAGTTGAGCCTGGTAAGGTAGGTGGGGTCAGTTATAACAGGTCTTATAACCAAAAAGGAAACACAGTTTTTAAGCCAAAGAATGACATGACCATATGTTTTTACAAGGATAATCCTAACATCAGTGTAAAAGATAATCTGGAGATTAGAGACAGAGAGACTAGTTTGGACTATGTAGAAGACCTGTTGAGAAACTACCCTTTATACTGAAAAACAGGAAGTGTATTAGACATCAGATTCCTACTCCTAGGGCACATGGGTTAAATGTTTCTGGTTTCACTCCAAGGAGAAGTTGAGAGGAGCAAAAGCGAATTAAAGGGTGTAGAACATAGGCTGGTGATTTTATTCCTATTTATTCTACCCTGTCCTGAGCTACTCATTGGTAAATTGACTTCCCCTCCCTCAACCTGCATCTCAGGCAATGAACTGAGGCAGGTGGGGGTGGGGGGGCAGACAAAAATAAAAGGAAAATGGAAGTGCTTGTCCATTTCTGATTTGTACTAGCATTATCTTTGCCTCTCCTATATGTAGGCTAATGCGGAGAAAAATTCCCATTTAACCGGGTAGACTTGAAGAAGGGCCAGGACACTCCTATTCCAACTGGATTTTATCAAAGGCACTATAGAAATCCACAGCAAGTAAATGAAAATGAATATGAGAATACAGGGGCACCCCTCATGAAATTGTGGAGTTTGAAAAGACTTCAAAGAGCTTCCTGATGGAAGACAAACCTCCAGCTTCCCTGAGGGCAGGGACCATTGCTGTGTGTCTTCTGTACCCGAGTCCTAATACAGAGCCTGACACATAGTGTGCCCGTGACAAATATTTATTGAATGAAAGATAGGCTGACCATGAATGAATGAGTGAATGAGTGAGTGAGTGAGTGAGTGAGTGAGTGAGTGAGTGAATGACATAGAGGAGAAAGGTTAAAGCCAAGAACACGATAATGCTTCATGGGGGGTAGCTGAGAAGTGTGAAGTTTAGCATAATATTCTCCACAGAAGTCCAAAACTCTACCAACGGCCAAAGAAGAGCTGTGCTCCCGACAAGCCGGGGCTTGGAGACCGGGGTCCTGAAGTGCAGCCTGAGGCGAACCCTCACGCAGTTCGCGCCGTGAGCCGCTCCGGCGAGCCGCCGCCAGCCTGAGGGGGGCGCCTTCCGCTGCGCAGGCGCGGACGAGGAGCCGAAGGGCCAGGTAATTCGTTCTCTGCCTTCCTACACGCGAGCTTCTCCGCACCTCAGGGCAGGAGAACGGCTAAGGAGTGCCGCCAGGAGGAAACAGGAGGAAAACAGGAAAAGCCACCTCGAAGGTTGGGCTTCGGCCAGCTCGTGTCCGCCCTCAGGCAGGTGTTGGCAGCTTAGTCCCGGGATAGGACTGCCGCTCAGAGGCCCAAATCCACCGCGGATCCGGGGCAGCCCTGGCACTC